TTTAAAAGCCATTCCATCATTTGTTGGTGCCTTTACTTCCGCCCAAAACAGCACAATTCATTGATACTTCAGGGTGCACTACTGTTGGCATGAAATGGAAGAAGTCGTAGTGAAGCCACTCTTTGTTTTTTTTTGTTTGTTCCACTTCTGCTTCTGTTTCACACTTCATGCAGTGTGTAGACGCCTTTCTCCTACCCATTTTACTGTAAACCACTCCAAATGGCTAGTTATTTAAGTAGCATGAGCACTTTTAAATTATTTCATAAACACATTTTTCATTGAATTTTTAGGCTGGTGAAATCATATACCTCATGAAGCAATTGGATTCCGATAGCTACATGGCAATAAATAAGTCGAATAAACGCGGCCGGGTTCCAAGTGATGTTTTGAATATTTTACTAGCTCCAGGCTAATTTCGTAATCAGTACCACCGTTGTCACAACTAAATTTGATCCAACCCCTCTCCTCTCCCCTCCCCCACCCCCGCCACCCTCACTCGCCAAACTATAACTGAGTCTACTTATAGAGTAGTAATTTTCTATTTGGATGGATCAATAACCGTAAAAATCACGAATGTGAGATCATCCTTCAAATCGTAATTTTTCCTGAATTTATACAAAATTCACCTCCTCTACGTACTTACTTTTTTAATTTTGCGTCAAATTCTTTTAATTAAACCGAATGCAAACATCACATATAAATTTTCATAAGATGGAGAGACTTCAGAAATTCTTATGGTTGTAGTGGAGTTCAATTATTTCCCTTATTTCCCACTGTAATTTAAAGATATTTCATATTTCCTAATTGTTGAAGGCAGCTAAAATTCCAAGAGATTATAAAAGGGGGTATGATTATACGATCCAGAGAGGAATTCCGAGGTATTCTAGAGTAGTGGTTCATTCGAATTTTGGATTCCGGATGTACATTATTTGCTAAGTGCTCAATTTACTTTCCAAACTTCAAAAAATTCACGATGCATCCATTCGATCACTGGAATGCCTGTGTAGCTCCTGTTGATCTCATCTTCTCTCAAGGGTTGACCTGCTAGAAGTTCAACCAATTTTTATAGTAAATGATTTGATAAGGCTAGCTTATCTCACAATTTATTCTACGGCTTCAAAACACTGATGCAACGGCTAGAATTTTATATTAGTATGCGGAGCTAATTCGCAAATAAGTAAAGAGATAAAGCTCATTATAGGATGAAGGATAAGTAGGCAGATGGAAA